CTATGTTGGCTTCTTGGAATTGTATTTTTGTCTTGGTTTAGTTCTTTGTTTGTTGAATATGTTGACAGTAGATTAATGTCACTAAGAACTTCAGCAGCAAATTTTTCTACATCTGACAAATATGTTTTACAGTCCATGTCTATTATATTCAAGTGAACTACCAATATACATGATTCAGGTCATTTTGAGAAATTTCGTTTTTCCTTTTCGGTTTTTGAGTGAAAAATAGTATTCCTGATCAAAAACAAAAGATTACCAGGCTTTCTAATTTACAAATGAACTAGATTTCTTTTTACAATATGTCATTTGATAGTCGTCTCTAACAGTACAAATAATTCAGTTAAAAAGGTTAATTACATGATCTTCTTACTTGACAGAAATTGCAGAAACAGAATGAGGTTTTATAGATAAAGGGTGGTCATTAAATGTTTCTTCTTTTTGCTCACTCCTGTCCTTGAGAAAAACCGTATACAAAAGCTGCAAAGTTAAATTTCTATTTCAGCAGTTTTTACCTTATATTTTGCCATTTCATAGTGAGTCTCATTTTACGAACAATAATTAGACTTGCAATTGAGGACTCTGGAAAAAACTATGGATGAGATAAAATGTGTCCTACCATACATAGCAGCTGCTGCTTCATGCAGTTTCTTGTGAGGCTGAAGTATTAGATATTAGATATATATGCAGTTTTCACTGTCAATATATAAGGTTTTATAGCTTGTGGAGTAAATATATGTGTGTGTGTTTGTGTATATATATATATGCAAAACTAATCATCTCCATAAGATACAAAAGCATTCTTAATTTTTTGAGTCATTTATCAACATTGACTTATGATAAGGTTAAGGAAAAAGTTTAAAAAACAGAAATATTGGACGTATATATGCCAATAGAAATAGCCTCCTGAAAATTATTGCTTAATTATTTGAGAAATGGATACTTCATTAAATCATGTTGCTTTCTTGAAATGAAAGTCAAGATGTAATTCCTTAAGCTAGCTTAATCATTGACAAGTTTACAAAATTGAAGACCTGAAGAAAGATGAGTTATGACCAATTCAAATCATCAGTGGCTCAGTCAAAAGGATTATTTTATATGCTTTGCTGTATGGAAGCTCTTACACAACATAAAATTGCAAGTGCAATCGTTTTCGACGATTTTGTTAAAACTTTTTATTGTTTGTGTTACATATTTGCTTTGATCTTTGTAAATTTTTGCTTTGATTTTGTTTTTGCACTTTTTTTAATGGTTGACGGTCAGAGATCAAAACATTTTCGCTTTTGGCGCTGAACAAACTAAATCTTGATTTTATGGTCTAAAGATTTTTTCTTTTCGAAATTTTTTGATTGATTTGTAAATCTTTTTACATAACTTTTTTTTCTTTTTTTTTTTTTTGTAACTTGATAACCTTTATGACGCTCCAGAAACAATTTGGTAGATTATTAATGTACCAGAGAGGACTTTATAAAAATAACTCAATAAAAAAATTTTGTTAGTAAAATAATTTTTCTAAAACTTTTATTTATAAAATGACTATGGAACGACCACTTCTTACAACCCAATCATTCTTCATAAAAAATAAAGATGATCACTTTGTCAATTTCATTTTGTTCGATTGTCATTCTAACAGATTTCTCTGATTGCATGTAATGGTAGTAGGCCTTTTTTGTTGAAAATTACTAAAAAATAATCTTGTAGATTATAAACACCAATCTACCAGATTACTGACTGAGGACCTATGCCAGCAGATTTATTAGATTACCCGTGGAAATCTTATAGATTACTTGTCTGACTGCGGCAATTTAAGTAAGGGCAATTTTTAAAAGGATAATCTTGAAAAATATCTTTTGAAAGTGCATGAGTCAGGATTTGTACCAAAATTCTTAATTTATAACATTTTTAGTCAAATAATTACACTAACAAAATGATATTTATTAAGAGTAAAGGTAAAAGTCTAGACTCATGCATTCTTAAGGGTAAAATTTCCATTTTTTCTTTTTAAAAATACTCCTTGTAATGGAGCTCCTTCTACCCCTTAACATTAGCCCATATATTTCTACTTTTTAGACTAGAATTAGTTAAGAGGTAGAGTTTTTTAAAAGGAGTACTTTTAATAAGTTAGATACTTAAAAATGTAGAAAATATGTAACTTTCTCTTTAGAGGTAAACATACTTGAGGGAGCATAAAGCTAAAGTAACAATATTCCTGTGGCATGAATCCAAAAGATAGCTCTTTTGCGGGGCATTCACCATTGGATCTAAATTTTTAAATAATAACAAAATACGAGACTCTATCAGATCAAAGGGTGTATTTATGCCATTAAGGAAAAAAAAAAAAAAAAAAAAAAAAAGAGTTCAGCTTCTAATCAATGATTAGGTTGACTAAAGACAATAATCCCTACATTCTCATTCTTAAGGTTGAAGGCTATTCTTTTTACATAACATTATTTGTGAAACATAGAAACATAGCATGACCTGCAAAATTTTAATAAGGGTAATTGGTACCATTATTTTATGAACTTTGAGTATAATGATATTTTGATTCTTGGATTTTTTTTATTTTGATATATTAGTGAACTTTTAACTTTTTAATTTTGACAACTTTGATCCCTAAAGATAAAATTGAAATGGATTTTTATAATTGAACAAAGATAATCATGTGTCCATGCACGTAACTTCAAATTTTATAAAATCGTTACGTTATATGCAAATATATATATATATATATATATATATTATTACTATTAAAGGCTATTGAAAACTATAATATTTCGCATTTATTATAGCTATTTATGTAAAAGTTTCGGCTATTATGTGATGAAAATGTGATTATTTAAGTCAAATTTCAAAAATCATTAATTAATCATTTTTAGTACTGCTAGAAACCAAACTGTCAAAAAATAAATTAAAAATCAAGGAGTAATTTGTTAAAACTAAAAGTTCCGAGACTAAATTGACACTATATCAAAATTCAAAAATAATAGTATCAATTGGATGCCCTTAAATGAAACGTGGAATTGTTATTATTTCTATTATTATATTTCCTAAAATAAAAAAAGAAAAGATTGTCCATTTTTTATCTAAACAAGCTGACCTATCTTCCTAACTCATTCTCTCACATCAACTTTTTTTCCCTTTAAATTTTCCTGTGGATCATATTTTTAACCTTTCGTCCTTTTAAACAATTGAATATATAATAATATTTTGGTATTCTTACTTATGCGGTTATACATAGCAATCGAAATGCCGCATTGCGAATGACTTTGCTATTAGCAACCCTAATGAGTCACATTAGGATAATATTCTAAGTCCACAATACGCCACACCCTTCCCTTTAAATTATATCTCTGGACACGATTCCGTGAATTGTTATGTTACATCCGTCAATTACTTGAATTGTTTGAATTATTCAACTCGAGAATTCCAAGATTGTCAACTTTGACTAGCAGCAACATTATGACACATAATTAGTACCAATGCTGAATTTAGCTAAGAAAAGTTTGTGTGTCCATAGAAACATTCATTAATGAAATTCAAATCTGGCTCCTGTAGTCATAAAAGGGAACATTTGAAGAAAATAATTATTCATTCATTTTTCGCTGTAAATATGATAGAATTGGCATAATTTCTCCATGCAAAATATGTTTCAGGATGATATATATTCTGGGTTTTTTTTTTTTGGTGGCCCTCTTGAAATGAACATATATATGGTGGTCTTAAATATTCTTGTCCTTGCGATAAAGGCAAAGTTTACATCATGCCATAAATATATATATATATATATATATATATATATATGATATACCTAGTCAAAAAGGAACGTCAGATGAGATTCTTCAATCAATTACTTCGGTGTAGACTAAGACAAAGCAGATTTTCTATAGTGCTAAGAACCTTCAAAGTACGGAGCCCATTTCACAATACTAGATCTCAGCCACTTTTTTCCTTTCCCACTTTCAGCTCAGTCCTTTTTGACTAATAAGAAAACCATGGGAACCTCATGATTTACATGCTTCAAAATTTTTTCATTGAAAAAAAAGAAAAAAAAAAAAAAGCTTGTAAATCATAAAACATGTCTTCTTCATTTTGTATGCCTTAATCAAGATATTTAGAATAGACAAACAAAAATTTTGTAGTGTATATATACATGGATACTAAAGTCCAGTTCATTTCACCGATTCGAATTTTACTACAGTAAAAAACAGTCATATCTCACTTTTTTACTACAGTAAAAAACTCTCAGAAACACATCTCAATTCGAATTAAAAACTTAAATCTGCGAATTAAACGAGACCCTAATTCTCTCTCTATATATATATATATATATATATATATATTATGGAATAGTCGAGATTTTGGCAAATAATTATATCACGTATATCTATATCTGTGTGTGTGTGTGTGTGGCTTCTGCTTAAATATTGCAGGAGTCATCATACGGCATTAGATGTTTTTGCCTAGAAAACTAATATAGGAAGGAAAAAAAAAAATCGTTGCCATGGACATTAGATGTCGAACATTAATTAGTACATATGGTTACCACACCATTGTAGAAATTCTACGACAAAGCAAGTCGACAATTCATATGAAGAAATATCGAATCAAAATGTTAAGTACAAACTAGATTTTTCAGGTAGGATCAAATTCCTAAAATTAGATCCTTTTGTTTTTCCTTTTATGTGGTGCTGTATCTCCTTAAGTTAATAAGTGACATCAATCAAAGCGAGAAAAAAAAAAAAGTGATATGACCACAAAATTTAGCGTACGTACTATCATATAAACATGAGTAACAAAAATTATTCACCAAAATATAGCAATTAAATTGAAGCAGAGATTATAGTCAAAGAGCAATTATCTGTGTGTTCACCCACTGTGTTAGAAAAGCAATTGCTTAGTATAGACTCATATTTTGTGAATTGATTTTTCCCCCAGATAACAAAATAAAAGAAAAATAAGAAATGAAACAAAGAAGTGAAAAAAAAAAAAAGCACACACATAACTAGTAATATGCAACTGTACATAACATGCATGAATGACAGAATTTATTAATAACCAAAATATATAATAATTCGATTCAAGTACTATAAAGCAATTAATCAAACAGCTGCATTATTATTGTTTCTGCCCATGGAGTATTTTGAGTAGAAAGAGATTTAGATTCTTTTGTAAGAAAAACCTAATCCTCCATTTTGTATTCCCCGTTCAAAACAAGCAGAAGACTATACTCAGTCGAAAATGAATCCTGAATGCGAAAATTCATTGACAGAGAGATCTTTGTCCGTGACAAAGCCGTTGGAGTACATCTCCGTAACACTACTAGCGTTCATGGAGGCTATTTGATTGAAGAAAACATCACTAGTCATTGTACTGTTAAGAGATGAGTACGCACTTTGGTGGTCTTGTTCCATATTATAATTATTGTTCTCTTGGAAATAAGATCGTTGTTGTTGTTGTTGCCGTTGATGATTCTGTGGTGGGACCTCCAGCTCCGGCTGAGACGACTGGTTTCGGAAAGGTTCGGCGATCGGAGTTGCGTTTTTGAGTCCGAAGTTCAAGTTCACAGGGCCTTTCTGGTTGACAAGTGAAATATTGGAGTTGTTGGGACAGCCGGTGAACTTCTGAACCAAGGCTCGGAAGTTCTTAGCGTTGGCGTTGAGAAGGGTTGTCGGCGTCTTCTTCGAAGCCCTAGATCGTCTCCGGATTGGCTTCGACGGCGTACTAGAATCACCGGCGTGAGCTTGATGGTGATCATCATGCTTGTCGGTGATTTGATCGTAATACTGTAGCCACTCTTGGTTAGAACTTGCCATAGTTTCTTTTTCTTAAGCTCGTTGTTTTTGTGATGAAAGAAAGGAGTTCGGAACGGCTCTTTGTAGTGACTTTAGATTTCTTGGAGTCAAAGGTAAGACTAGTCTATACTCTTGACCGTTGATTATCTTTGTGGGGGAAAATGGAGACTTGGGGCTAAAGAATGTGGGCATTGCAAGCTTCCAGGAAATTGCATGTGTTAACGTCAATAAGATCATCATATCTTAAATTTATATACATGTGTCGTTTTAAACTCGTACGTTGGTTTTGTATTGGAGAATATCTAATTTTTAGGTAGGGTCTTAAGAATTCCTTGGTCAAAAAATTGCTAAAATCAAGAGATAGACTTGTAGTTGTGGAAAACAAAACGTGGACATTATCCACTTTTCATGTCGATTGTTTTACTTTTTCACACCCACCAAATCCATCGATAATATATTCTTTTGGTGTGTTTTTGCATAACCCATATGTGGAGTAAACTTGACCATTATTTTATGTAGGATATTCCTTGACATATGTGATTTGTGTGCATTTGCTTAAAATCGGTTGACAACTATATTTTTTAATGTATGGTGAACATACAAAAGATCTGTGACTAGGGTCTAACTCGATTAAAACCCGCATGCATACATACATAAAATATATCCACATTATTATTTTAGCATTTTAATTAGCTTATGTTCTTTTACAATTGGCATTTTTGTTCATACTTGTTGATACTTTATAGGTATGAATGTAACTAACATGTAAAAGTGCTCGGTGCCACTAACAAATTAGAAGTGACTTGCTGTATCTAATCTAACATTTATAAACTCTATTGCTAATTACTTGTTACATATATATGTCATAGTATATTTAAAATTAATTAAGATCAGGGTATTTAGTTCATGGATTCAGGTTGGTTGGGTTTCCTACAACCCTCATGTGGAGCTACTCTTGACGTTGAATATGTGAATTTTTCCGATCATTCCATTCGAAATATCATTATGTTCCTTTCTCATGTGTTCTCATATATTCTCTCTGTAATAAATTATGATGTCGCTCTTTATCTTTCGCACTTAATTTATTTGTTCATAGCTAGATCAATCTAAGGCAAACAGATTAAATTTTAACAATATATAAAGACTCTCGATAAGTTTCTATTGGTAAGTTCAGTAGTATCATGACTACGAACAAACTCGTAGAGATTGCATAATATACGTGATTTGATCTTAATTACTTAGAAACATTGGCTTGTACAGCAAGCGTTTTATATATCTTATGCACATGCATACTTTTCTGCCTTGACTAAGTTAAGATACATTGCATACTTCTCATATCCTTTAAAGTTCTTCCATAAAATATAAAATAAATAATAAAAAATTAATTAAAAAAAATTCCTTTGAACGCTTCAAGTTTCATATTGTCTTTTCCCCTCCGATAAATTGGAAAATCAAATACATCATTATCTGTAAAAATTGAAAAATTAGTGGGGCCCTCCATCTTTGCTTTGACATGTCAACTGTAAAATCATCACCAACTCTATTTGAAACGAAAATTAAAGAAATGCCTATAGGAATATATTTAACTTATCCTTTTATTTGAAGATCTGCATTATTAAACTTTCCTTCCAGTACTTTGTAAATTTAGTTCGTTTTATTCTATTTTTCCGTGAACTCGCTTGTGGTATATGTATTTATTTTTATTTTTTTATTTTTTTTTTGCTGAGTTGTGGTGTATGTATTTAATAACCGAAAGGCAAAATGACTGAGGCAAACATGGTTACATTTTTTTTTTTCTGAATTAGTTTATATTGCTATTAAATTGGTAGACAATTGAAGTGGGTGTATTTAACCCAGATCAATACTCACCCTCGCCGAGATAATTAAGGGTAGAAGAATTATATCGTATAATCCAATAAAGCTAGATATATATTGAAGAAATTTGAACAAAGAATACAAAAACCAATCGATCGACACAAACTAATTCGAGAAGCACAATTGCACCTACGTGTCTTCATTTGCTGTTTCAATTATTTCATGTTGATTATTTTCTTAAGGGTAATTAGTATTGTTAGTCCCTGAATTATGAACATTGTATTACTTTTTCAGCATATTACTCTCGGAGTTTTGATTTTTTTTTTGCACTTTAGTCACTGACACTAAAATTGACGAAATTTCACAAAAACAATCATGTCACAATTGCATGTTAACTGAACTGAAATTTTTACAGAATAATTACATTAAATTCAAAATGTTAACTTTAAGGATTTCTAACAACGATGAAGAGAATATTTTACATTTCTTGTATCCATATTTCTCTAAAACATTCTATTACTCTATGCGATTGAAAGGTGATTAATGTAAGATTTCAGAAGTCACCGTTAATTTTAATTTAGGGCTTACAATTGCCACACACATACACACACACACACACACACACACACACACAAAATCATAGAGAATAATCTGCCACGACAAAATGTTTGAGAACCATATAAATGCAAATGCTCTCAGTTAATAGTGCTAATAATTTTTTACTTTGAAGAGTAAAGCCTTTTTCTTACATTTTTTCGCATGATGACTAAAAATAAGAAAATACTTGTGGGCCTCATGCAACGTGACTAATACTAATTTTATGTTGATGAGTAATACTCAACACCACTACTACTGATATTTTATAGTATTGTTTTTAAGAATATTGGCTTGTTTGAAATTTCTCAAGTGCACAGTTAGTAGTGTGCACGCATGTGAACGCAATTACTATATATTAATACAAGTCTACATCTACTGACTACGACGTGTGCAAACTGTAGATGAGGGAGACAAATTTTGAAAGACTTGTAAAGTTTGGTCAAAGAGCGGCAATTGAAACAATTATGAGATTTTAGAAATATTAAAAAGCTAGTTGTAACATTGAGAGCCCGTTTAATTCTTTGAGTTTTTAATTTAAGTTGAGATGTAATTTTATGTAAAAAAAATTTTATTGTAATAAAAAAATTAACTGTGACTATTTTTAAAAAATTTTTACTGTAATAAAATTTAAATCGGTGAAATAAACGGAGCCTAACAATCTTTGAAAAACCATAATCGCTAATGAGGGAGTGTATGGCCAGCCACATTTGCTTTTGTTCTATATATGTGTTTGACTAATAAAGTATTTGCGTCAACTCAACGCTAAGATAGCTGTTTTTATTTATTTGCACATCAATTGAAAACTAGCTAGTAAGATAGTCCTTGTTTCTTAAGAACTTATGTAAAGCCTTCACAAGTAGAGAGTTTTAAAATAGCAGTATATATAAAACAAAGCGGTGTGTAGAGGTATAAATTTGACATATAATTACTTTATTATTATTATTATTATTATTATTATTATTATTATATATATATAATAGAAGATGAATCGCTTTTTATTCATATTGGAAGTCCTTGAGATGTTTGCATCATAAGAAAGTTCAAACAACAAATATCACATTTATACACAAGGGTCGGTTTGACAAGGTTTCCTGAAGATGGTTATGAATACTCATTATTTCTTACCCCAATTTATGTTGGGATAATCCAAAAGCTTCTTATTACCGAGTGTGGGACTGAATTTTCACAAAAATAAATGAATAATACTAGCAAATCATGAAGCATATCACTTTTGCATTTTTCGATCCAAATTGCACTTTTTAGCTCAAACCAATTTAATCTGGACATGTGCGGATTTAAGAAATTCGCATGGATTAAATTCTCATCCAATCCAATATGCAATTAACACATCAGCAAATCCAATATAGTCAAAAATTTTGATTCATTCAAAAGACATCTAAAACTAAACAATAAAGCTAAAATTCATAAAATCACAAGTCAAGTCTTATAATGATTCTACTCATGTTACATCAGTTAGAAAGTCATATTTCATATTTAATAATTTAAGATTATAGCATATTTATATTTTAATCCTAAACCCTAAGGTATTTAAAAAAAATTTAATATGTGTGTTGATCGGTTTGGATCAGTTACTTTTTATGTTCAATCTGCAACTGATTCGCACAAGTGCAAATTTGATGAAGTGTCATTCAATCCAAGTTGCGGTTAATCTGTTATGTGCACTTTGCAAATTGGAATGGATCGATCTAATCGAGTAGTTTCATATTTTTTAACAGTTCTAATGGTTATCTTACAAATATTTATACTATTTTGTTTTTTTAATTGGGAGAATACTCAAAACATCTCCTGTATTTTGCTTAAATACGACATTTGCCTCTCTTATTATACAAATATTATAAGCACATGCTTATAAAATTAGAATCAAAATATCCACTAGGTTAAATTTTAAAATAAGATAATTACCCTTGCAAACCTATATCAAATCTTATTCTAAATATGACAACTAAAAAATTAAATAAAAAATTTTTAATTTCAAAGTGTTACCAATAAATATTTCAATTAAGCAAATACTTCATTTTTAAGTTGTTTAAGACTGATTTTTATTTAATATTTTGGATTTATAATGTTTTTAACTAAAGGCTGGGATGGGTAATAGTATTTTAAAACTTTGCTTCAGTGGTATTTTGAATCTAGTTTTGTAAACACGGTTTGTTTTTTTTTTTTTGGCACAATAAACGGGGCAAAGAAGGTGTTTAGGCAAAACACTTGGGTGTAACGCAACTTTGAGACGATATATGCAATCTCAGCTTGATCTTCGAAAAGCATCCTAATTCCTAAGTAAAAATTGATCTCAAATTAAATAAAGTTTGCAGCCAGATTAATTTGTGGTATGGTGATTGGACGCCATCACTCTACAATTAAAAAATTTATTCAGATAGCTCTTGACCTATAATAAATCAAAAACGACACGGTTACTTCTTTGTCATCTGTTTCTACTCTCCCGTGATTAAAAATAACACCAACATGAACCAAGAAAAATAGTAGTCCCGCAAGTGGATTGACAAAAGGTTAAAACCAAAGAAAATTATTATACAAGTAGCATTTACAAGGACTGGGGTGGTAGAATTACACCACGTGGGAAAAAATAAAACAAAACAAAAAAAAAAACACAAAATTTGGGCCCAAATTCCATCGAGACCCACTTTATGTAAATATCAGTAACCTTCCTGTGAAATGAATGTGAAATTTTAACTTTTTATTTTTAACTTTTTTCCTTGACACACTTTCTATTCTACAGTTATTTCTAGTATAGTGGTAAGCCTTGGTTTTCTGTATCTCCTAAGTAACAAAGAAGAACATACAACACTAACAGAAGACATAGCCATGCACGCGCCAGCTGCCCATGGAGGCAACTGAATCCCCGACGACGGAAAGAAAACTCCGGCAGCAATAGGGATCGCTACGACATTGTAAGCCATGGCAAACACATAATTCAATCTGATTCGAGAGAACGTCTTTCTCGAGAGATCAATGGCGGTAATCACATCCTCCAAATTGCTCCTCATCAAAACATAATCCGCCGCTTCAATGGCAATATCTGTCCCCGCTCCAATTGCCATACCAACATCTGCTGCGGCTAGCGCCGGAGAATCATTGATTCCATCGCCAACCATTGCGACCGTACTTCCATCATTTTGAAACGAACGAATTACATCAGCTTTTCCTGCAGGCATTACCTCTGCCCTTACATCGTGAATGCCAACCTGCCCAGATTATGGGAGATATTAGAACAAGACTATAACAATGCCCCTTGATCATTCTATAATTTAGAACCATGTGGCTTATGTTAGTTACTACTAGTCATCAGTGTAAATCTCAAACTCATTGAAATTAGAAAAACAATCACAAAAGGTCAAAGCCGATTAAGGCCCATTTATCAAGGGAAAAAACATGCACACACTTGGTAAATTTGGTTTAGTTAGAAAAAGAAATGGAGACAACCTCCTTAGCAACGGCCCGTGCTGTCCTCCAATTGTCCCCAGTAACCATGACTGGTCGAACGCCCATTTTGCTCAGGCCCTCAACTACCACAGCAGCTTCCCTTTTCAGTGGGTCTGCAACCCCCAAAACACCGATTAAATTACCATCATATGAGACAAGTATGCCTGTTTTCGCACTGTCTTCAAGATCTACCACAAATTTTTCCACATCATCAGGGATGTTGATTCCACTCTCAGTCATCAACTTGCGATTACCAACCTGTTCAGACAAAGTCCCCAAGTAAGCAACGCCCAAGTCACAAAGTTTATGTTCCAGAGTTCAAGTTCTATGGAAAGCAACTGATCACGATTAAAAATAAGCTTACCAAAATCTGTTTTCCATCAATAAAGCATTGGACTCCTCTTCCAGGCAAAGCAGAAAATTCTGCAACATCAAAAAGCCAACCAGATACTGCAGAGTCTTTGTTATTGCTTTCGGCATCCTTAGGAGCAGAATCATCAAAGAAATGAAAATGCTGGGCGTATGCAACTATCGCCTTTGCCAGTGGATGTTCGCTACTAGCCTGTAATGACAAGAAAGGAAAACCAGTTTGGTCCCAAATTAGCCTACAAAATGACAGAAAGATGAATTGTCCAGAGAAGACAAAAATATACATGACAAAAGACGTCAATAGGTTTACTTATAATCTATTATCCAAATAGCAGTATTTTTTTTTTAGCACTATCAGCAAGTCCAGCAAATAAACAGCAATGAGAACAGCGAGGAGGTGAAATAGCAGACATAATTGAATTAATTATGAAGTAAGAATTCACCTCTGCAGAAGCCACCAATTTAAGGAATTCTCCACGGTCCATTCCCGTGAAAACTTTTGTGGTTGTAACCGAAGCCTTTCCCTGAGTTAGGGTACCTGTTTTATCAAATATCACATACTTAATTTTTTGAGCCCTTTCCAAGGCATCCCCTCCTTTTATCAGCACACCATTGTTAGCACCAACTCCTGTTGCAACCATGACAGCAGTTGGTGTTGCCAAGCCGAGAGCACAAGGGCAAGCAATCACCACAACTGATATAGAAAACATAAGGGCGAAGACGAAGTGATTTCCATTTTCTGGGAGCCAACTTTCTGGATAGGCTCCAAGAGCTCCAGCCATGTACCTGCAGATAGTTGTTGGATTGGATGATATGTATTTAATAAAATAGGCATAAAATCTTAAAGAGAACATAATTGGCTAATTCTACTTCTTGAAATGTGAAAATAGAAATAGATCACTCTGAACTTACCATCCCAATAATGTCAACAACGCCAACATAACAACAGTAGGAACAAAAATGCTTGCAATCTGCAAGTCAACAAAGAATAGAAATATTAAGACACCTTGATATTTTATTTTTCAGGTTTTTCAACAGAGAACTTTACAGTAAGCAGATAAGCAATAAAGTAACAGGCACATATATGTCGAGCTGATACATCAGATGGCATGACAGGTGAAGCAACGACAATGAGAAAAAAATTGAATTGACTCGATAAAGGGAATCTACTAGTTGAGAAACAGCATAGCTCCCATGCAGAAAAGAACGTATAACTGAGTTGAAGAATTTGATCACAACAGAAACAGGCATCAGACGCATGCAAAAAAGACAGGCATGGAGAACTCTTTCAACAGCTGAACAAACTCATTATGGTGCAATGCCGTTAAAATTTATAGGCAAAACTTGAAGCAATTTTCCGTATATATCACTTACATATCATAACTTGCATTGTCATTTATGGCATCAACAAAGACAAGACAATGAATCAACATATTCTAAGATATTAAATAACAACTATACACTTTGACAAGAAGGATTATACATTTCTAGAAGCAGTGAAAGCATCATTTTCAATCGTACTATCATTTCTTGGCCAATAAATACTTGGCTACCACAAGGTATAAAAGCAAGTTCTCTGTAATGACAAACAAAACGCATTTATAATATAATCTTTAGAGTGGTAAGAGTTCTACAATAAATGCAGTAGAAAGACAATCCCAAATTGAAAATACGAAACACTTACAAAATCTGCAAATTTCTGTATGGGAGCTTTGGACATCTGTGCCGTCTCAACTAAACTGATAATCTGACTCAAAACTGTATCAGAGCCTACTTTGGTAGCTTGTATGTGTAGAGCGCCATGTAAATTTATTGTACCTCCAATAACTCTTGAACCGACCTGCTTTGAAACAGGTACAGATTCACCAGTTACCATACTTTCATTCACATAACTTGTACCCCAAGCAACAAGACCATCAGCAGGAACCTTTGCACCCGGTAAAACTTTCAATGTGTCACCAGGCTGAATTAATAGGGCATCTATTTCCCTTTCTCCGATACATCTTCCGTCTAGTATTAGGATTTATATAACTAGTCAGTTATTCAGAAGTTAAAAACCTTTATTTCTTTCACCATCATGTAAAGAAGAGAAAACAAAATGTCATAAAAGTTAAAACTCAATGTGTTTTCAGCAATTTCATTGAAATGCAAAACTTCAATATGCAATAGCTTGAAGTAACGAAAGTAAATAACTTCCAATAGGGACAGAGATCTTCATCAGTAAAGGTGGGAAGAAAAAAAAGGACATCACAACTATGTACCTTTATCTTTGATAAGCAACATCGCTGTTGCTGGTGCAAGTTCTACCAACTTCTTGATAGCGTCAGATGTTTTCCCCTTTGCAAGACACTCCAGATACTTTCCTAAGAGCACAAACGTGATCAGCATTGCACTTGTTTCAAAGTAAGTTGGCGACCAAAACCCAGTGACTGCACCATACAGAAGTGCGCAAACAGAGTAGAAATAAGAGGCCGATGTTCCCAGTGCAACCAAAACATCCATATTCGTGGAACCATTTCGCAGAGCTCTGGCAGCAGCAATGTAGAACCGCTTTCCAACAACAAATTGAACAACACTCACCAATGCCCACTTCAACCAATCACCCATTTGGAAGGGCCCACATCGCCAGAGCAATAAGGAATAAATCAGCGGTATGTGAGGACAAACTACCCGTATGAGAAAGACAGGAACCTGACAGCAAGTTATCAAGTATCAGTAACTAATTCTTCTTAGTTAGAAAAGAAAACAATTGGTTACTAAGGGTTGTCCTAATGATGACACACACAACAAAAAATAGAAATAAAAATCAAAATTAATTTTGTGTAGTCTGCCAGTCTGGTCAGATATAAGTTATCTCATGCCTGCTTTAGTGAGATCTGAAAAAAAGATATGCATCACTATAACAACTAATGTGGATAAATATCTATGAAGTGATTTTGTTTGATTCAATGCTACTAAATGGGTGAAAAATGAGGACCAAAGAGATTATACAGCTGTGAATACCAAATCTATATGCATGTAAAAGAAAAACTCACACTGAGAAATAGGCTAGAGATGAACAATCTAAACATATTTGAGGCTTCTTCCACATCCTTAGAAGTCATTCTTGAATAAGGGTTTGCGACATGTAATTTAAACCTTCCGCTACTTCCCCCTTCAATCCCATCAACTAATGATCTTGAATTGACAACTTCAGGATCAAATAGGACTTCAAGTTCTCTTGTAATTCGGTCAAAATAAAATTGCCTCATTCCCTTCAAGTTGCTAAGTATGCCCCCTAAAAGCTGTACATCCACGTCACTGTATATGCCAGCAACCCCCAAAACAATCTTATCTTGTTCACTGCTCTGTAAAAAGGCTCCTTCAAAACCAGCATCTTCAATCGCATTGACTATATCCTCTTTGCTGATTATGGCTGGATCATACTCGACTTCACCTAATGAAGTTGCCAATGCAACGACCGCCCTTTTGACACCAGGAAGATCTCTTAAGATGCCTTCAACGGAGTTCACGCAAGCTGCACATGTCATGCCTCCTATAGAGAACTGCCCTGACAGGGTTCCTTGAGGCTTTGTCCCAACTGCACTGGATTCAGGTAGAATCTCTGCTTCAAACCCAGCATCCTCGATTGCGCTCTTGATGTCTTCATCCTGAATTAGGACAGCTAATGAAACACTTTAGTGTCTATTTGACAATTTAACCATAATAAGTATCAAGACCTCCAGAGAAGCCTCATAAAAAAGTGCAGGGAATAAATCAATTGATGACTTTGAGAACATTCAACTATTAGCTTCCTGGAGCAAAATGAAGCACGTCACACGAAACTGCTACCAAAACAAAACAAAAAAACCAAACCAAACCAAACCTTAAAATTACAGGATGTGGGGTTTAGAAAATCATGAAATTCAACGAAGAAGAACTACCTAAAATAATAATGATTTGTACTGCAGCAGACATTCGATACTAATCCAACGTTTGCATTTATCCCTTAAAAGGTCTAACCTTTCTTGTTCCAATACAAGTCCATCTGTTAAGAACAGCCTAGTGGCCACTTGTAACCGATAACCGTCTTATTTTGGGAAACTTAATTAGACGGGTCTCAAGTTAATTAGACTTCCCAGGAGAAAAAGGTAAATTCATAACAACCTCATTTTCAGATCAAAAACAGAATATGGAGTTGTTGGAATGATATAATAACAAGTAACATCCATTATACATTGCAAAATAATGAGAGGAATTCAGAAGAAAAGAAGGATCAGATTATAGAGACCAGAGAGAGACAGACGGGAAGGAAAAGGACGGAGAGAGAAAGGAAATATCTAAGCTTGTCACTTTACTATAATTTGGTTCATCATTATACATCCAAAAATAGCAATTATGTAAAAGAAAAGAATACCACCCAACAAACCCAAAAACACCGAACGACCTCATTATACTCCACTTATTTAAGCTCAATTTTTATTTTTTTATAAAAATTTAAAGAACTCAACCAAAAGAGAAATCAATCAAATTACTAACCATAAGCAGCGAAGACCAACCCACAGTTTAAGCTCAGACTTCAAGGAAAAAAAAATAAGAGAATTTAATACAACCCAAAAAAACACTCGAATCGCATTCACAGAATCACAATCAAAACTCAGAAAAACAACCAAATTAAGATTTGTTTAAAAAAAATAGTAACGGTGAGAAGCAAAGATCAACCCGCAGTTCAACAAGCTAAAAATGAGCTGAGAATTGAAATTACTAAAAATCCAAAAAAAAAAGAAAAAAGAAATAACTAGTAGTAATTGAGCAGAAAAGAAATAGTCAAAACCCAAATTCGAAGAATCGCCAACCAACCTTGACCAATCTGGGATCAAAGACCACGTCAGCCTTGTTCTGAAGAAGAGCAACGGAAGCCCTGAGAACGCCATGAACGCTCATCAGAGCTGCTTCAACGGAATTCGAGCAAGCAGCGCAGGTCATTCCGGTGACGCCGACCTGAATCCTCTTCATCGTCCCCTCTCCGATTACTCCCTCCTCCTCCGAATTCTCGTACGCGTCGAGGAGTCGCACCTCCTCGAGGTCGCCGGAGTCGCCGGCGCCGGAGACGGAGAGCTGGGTGAGCTGGAGGCTTCTGCTGTTCGGCGCCATGTTTGGGGAAGAAAAATGGAGGGGCAAACAGAGGTTTTATTTGTTCGTGTGAAGAGAAAAGAGAGGAAAATTTTGGGTTGAGATTTTAAGAGAGAGGAAAGGGAAGGGGAAAGAAAGAGAGGAAAGAAGAGAGAAAGGGGAGGATCTTCCGAGGGAGATAGTTGAGACAGCAATTTCTTAACTAAAGTAGCTGCGAGAAAGAGGGTGGTGGTGGGGTCCGTTTGGTCTTTGCAGGATTTTATTTTTCCGATAATACCCCTCACGATTCTGTTTATGACAATCAAGTCTGAAGGTGTACTTGTACTTTTGTCCACACAAAAAAAAATGTTTTGGCCGCCTCTGTACTACACGCTATAAGGGGTTGGGGAGAGAGAATGTCAATCTCTCTCTTCTCTCTTTCTTTCGAAAATAAAACAAAAGAAAATTTGATGAAGTTACGTCTGTTTGATAACGTTTGTGACTTGTATTCTGATTTCCAACCATGTTGTTTTGCCAATGAGTCACTTCTTTTTTTTTCTCGATCAAATATAGTCTCATTTATTTTACATATTCAAATTTTTAATTTAAATTGAGATATAGTATTTTTTGAAAGTTTTTAATTGTAACAAAAAAAGTTAGATGTAATATTTTTTGAGAATTTTTAACCGTAGTAAAATAATTAGATGTGACATTTTCTGAGAGTTTTTAACTGTAAAAACTAATAATTGAAAATTCGAATCAGTCAAATGAACGAGATTTTGAAAGATAGGATATAACTTGTTTTTTTATACTCAGTCAAATATTAAAAAAAATATCTATCAAATATAGCGTTTGGTTAGTGTATTCGTGTCATAATTTGAATCATGGTTTGTGATTTGCTATAGTATTTTTTCTCATAAAAAATACACGTAAATCGAGAATAATTTTGAATTATAATTCTAAATTTATGAACCAAACGTTTTAATTAAGTTGACCTTTACGCTAAAATATTTCTTTTGTAATGCTTTTATTTTAATTATTAAATATTAAAATTAATTAATAAAATCAAATTTATTTCCAATAATTACGTTTCTAGATCACCGATCAAAATATATAAATAAATAATACCTTAATTACATTTGATGATGTGGTTTTTTATATCACTTGTTACTTTAACAAGCTAATGAATAAATATATACGTATATTATATATATAGAGAGTGAGGGGGATTTAGAGTAGAGCTAATGCATTGATCTTAATTACCTTTTTTGGGTAGGGTTCTACAACCTTTATGTGGTAATTATATAATCATTTTCACTTTCATAGAACAAATTACGGCCACTCATAGATCTATTTAGAAGTAAAAGGGGAACTTTCAGTTGAAAAGTAAGAATAATCTTTGAGATGCTCTACAAGGCAAAAAGGAGTAACGGTTAAGATAAGGGCAGTTGAGGCTCTTTTTTATTATAAAAGCCAAATTGAAATCTCAAAGAATATTCGTTTAATTCATTGATTCGAGTTAAGTTAAGATGTGGTTTTAATTGAGTTTAACTATAGTTAAAAAAAGTTAAATGTGACTTTTTATGATAGTTTTTAACTGTAATAAAACTATAATTCAAAACTCGAATCGGTGAAATAAACGAGGCAAATTCAATTACTACAATGTTTTTTCTCATAAAAATTCAAATTCAGTTTTTTTGCTACAATGTTTTTTTCTTATATACACAATTCAAGTTCTTAACTTACTTTGTAAAACAAACATACCCCATTTTTAAATTTTTTCACTAAAATAATGTATATTATAAGAAAATCTACAATCAATTATTATCATGAATAATTACAATAGTGTTCTATCTTATGAGAAAATCTGTTGGATTGAGAAAGCAGAAAATTTAACGAGGGACGTCAACGAATCAAACATCATCATGGTTACTACTTCTAATGTATTTGATGAAATCTTTGGGCGTGTTTAGAATTTGTTCTAAAATAATTTTATTTTTTGTATGAAAATGAAAATGAAAACGTTTTCAATCTCAAATAGAAATCATTTTTGAAAATATGTTTGATAATTTTATCAAAAGATTATTTTTAATGTAAAAAAACTCATTAATGTCTCTCTTTCTCTCTCTTTGTTCAAGAGAGGAGAAAACGAAAAATAAAAAATGAAAAACGACTAAAAGTTATTTTTCGTTTATCTCTCATTTTACACTAAACTAAAAAATCTTTTTCATTTTTATTTTTTGTCTTTATTGCGTCAAACGCTGTTTTAGAAACGTTTTCATTTTTTTCTCAAAAAACGTGAAAAATAAAAACGGGATCAATTCCAAACACGACCTTTATCTTTTTTAGTTTTTTTTCCTTACGTTTGAACCGTTCTTTGTGCAGATTTGAGTGAAATTCAATTTTCTTTCAGTATAAAATAAGATTTAAAAGCCAACGACCATTGTTAAAATTTACTCATTGATGTCACTTTAGGTTACCATGGTTTCTACTTCCAATACATTTGATGAAATCCCTATCTTTTTTTGGTTTTTTTTTCTTACTTTTAAACGGTTCAAGTGGAAAACTTGAGTGAAGTTTAAAATTTTCCTTTTAACATAAAATAGGATGTCATCGTTAAAATTTACTCATTGATGCCACTTTAGGGCTCGTTTAGTTTGTTGATTCGAGTTTTTAATTCGAGTTGAGATGTAATTTTATGTAAAAGCTTTTTACTGTAGCAAAAAAGTTAGATGTGACTGTTTTTGAGAGCTTTTTACTGTAACAAAACTCAAATTCTAAACTCGAATCGATGAAATGAACGGAGCCTTAGTTTCTATAAAGCCCAGGAAAGGGGAAAAGAATTGCATCAAATCAACAAGTTCTATAAGACTAAAATTGTACAATATAAGGTGTTGTTTGGTGTAAGGGTTTTGTACAAAAAATAAAAAGTGATTTTGATTTGATTCGCCCAGAATCAGTGTTTGGTTATGATGGTTCTGATTCAATATTTAAACTCTGATGTGATGTTTTAAACCATAAATTACTTCTGATTCTAAAACCATCTTCTATTGATTTTGGGCGGTTCAAAGTCAAACCCCTGATTCTAATTCTAATTTCATAATTTTGATTTGTATCTAAAATCATAAATCATGATTCTGATTCTAAAATTAAAACTAAAATTACTCTGATTTAAATTTTCATACTAAACAAACAATAATTGTACAAAATGAAATCTATTGTCATTTTATATTCGGAGGCAATGACCAATCTCACGTCAGAATATACATTTGTGCATACATATAAGTGAAAGAAATGATACTTCCACATAAAACTTAAAGGACAATATTTTTAGGAGTGAAATTAAGTCCGATAATTTTCGGATGACTTTTTCACAAAAAAACAAAATGATATTTGAAAAATTTTTGCTTTCCTTTTTTTTTTTTTTCGAAGAAGTTTTTGCTTGAATGATTTGAAGTCTTTTGGATAATGGATTATGGGCATATGATCCTCGTGGACCCGACCATTATATCTATATTTTATATGTGTTTTTTTTTCTGAATTATTTCATATTTATTTATTGTTTGTGTTAGTTATGCCACGCAATAAATAAGATTATACAAACTTGTATTCTATCTGTAAGAGACGTTAAAAAAATAAATGCCAACGTGGACCAGACAATCCTTGTCCAAAATAATAATAATTCTCAACCTTTCCTGTGGGCGTAGCGTATTACCAGGGGTGGTTTTGGAATTACGAGAAGTGCAGGGAGTTGCAAGTAATGGGTGATCGCATCACGGTTGAAGAGTTTTTCTTTGGGGCTGATGCAGTGCGTTGACCATTTTGCCCATTTGTCTGCACCCAAGTTACGTTAGTGCTTACATAGAATGTAGGAGAGAGAGACGTTCTAAAACTTTCTTTAGGATTATGGTTTTTGAATTTTACTCACTTTGATTCTTAATTTTTAAAACGCTATATAATTAATGTTTATAGTTTTATTCTGTTTCAATTTTGATCATTCTGTTAGTTAAAGATTAGATATTTGATAAAATCTATGAAAGTAAAAAATTAAAAACATTTAAAGTTTAAGAGTTAAAATACTGCAAAAAAAAAAAAAAAACAAAACAAAACAAAAAAAACAAAAGTTAATTTTTACATATAATCTTTAAATTTTAGTTGTTTTCAATTTAATTCTTAAGTTACACAGATTTCATCAAATATTTCACATCTAATTAATAGAAAAGTCGAAACTGAAACAAAATAAAATATCAAGGACTAATTATGAGATGTTTTAAAAATTAAAAACTAAAATAAAATTAAAGGTAAACTTTAAAGATTATTTGTGAAATTAACCATTTTTTCACTAGTCAAGAAACGTTCATTTTAATTTATTTGAAAACCAGAAAACAAGACAAACTTGTTCACCTTTCTTGGTTCTCAAACTCTTGACGTCAAGTATCCATTTCGAAAATTAAGGCAATTGAGTTCTTAAATTTCTATTTTCCAGAATACTTGTGTGTATATTTTAAAATTTTGGATAATAATAAAATTTAAAAATAAAGAATTAAAGAATTTTAAAACATTAACCACATTAATATTCTAAAGATATTAGACATGCGAGTAAGCATACAACATATCATTTTAATGAGATTTTATGTCATTTAAATTTCCTAATTTGTTGACTTAATGAATTTGAACTTTTTTTAAGGTTAAAAACAGTAAAGGATTTAACTGAATATAAATGTTTCGAAATTTTTTCTTCATAATTTACATTCATTTAATCAATATCAATGGTAACAAGTTTTTGGCCTCCTTACAGTCAAAGAATAAGTTATTGGGGATCTGAGGTGCAAGAAAATTAGCGTTTAGAGATCTAACTGTCCAAATTTCAAACTAATGACTCATGTATGAGAACCCAATTATCTAATCTAAATCTTAAAAACAGGGATTCGAATATCATTAAAATGTTTGAGGACCTTAAACGCAAAAGCCTAAATAAAAAAGAAGAAGCTAATAAATTTTAGATTAGTGTCATTTAACCATCTTGTTAGAATTTTTATTAAAATATAATTGAAAAAAATAGTGCGATCGCGCAGTCTTTTCTCGTAGAATTTCTATTAAGAACAAAAGGAAAAAATTACATACTACATTTAACTCTCTCTTTATCTATATATTT